GTTAATGCAACATTAATAATGATAACTGCTATTATTTAATACGGCTTTAAATCATTAAAAAATATCTTATTTTATGAGATTCTTCCGTATGTAGTCAATGATCAAATACGTAAAGATCACAGGAAATCTCTAGATGAAGATCTAGTAACTTGGAAGGCCTACATTTTTTTTTAAATTAAAAGCTATTATTTTGTTTATTTTGATATATGATTCTAAATATAATCAAAAATACAGTAAACTACTTTCTCTGAAAATTAAGTAAATTAAGAAAAATATTGGTACATGAAAAAATGAATAAAATAAACTATACATAGAGGATTTACTTTCTCACTTTACATTTGTCGTTGGAACGTTGGTAAGCCGTCTATCGATTCTCCCCACGCACACATCTCCTCTTCAGTCATCGATTGCACTTTTTGCACCTGCCATTTTTTTTCCAGAGTAATGGGAGCCTCATCTGAAACTACTGGCACGAGGGTGCATTAAAACAGGCTACCCTAACCTGTGAAGCCACCCTCACCCTCTTCGTCTCAATGAATCTTCCATAATTGAATATTTTTCAAAAAATCTTAAAGTGTCTCCTGGAAGGAAAAAAGACAGAGAAAGATACACATTCGAGAAGTCAAAGTGTGCGACGAGGAAAGAACAGCGGTGCCGTCAGTAAGAAGGAAAAAGCGGAACAAGGATAGAAATAGAAGAAGGTGAAAGTAAAAGAGAGACGGATAGAGGGTGGGTGGTGGGGGGTTCTCAGCTTAAGAGAGAGAGAGAAAGAGAGAGAGACAGAGGAGGTCGAAGGGAGTCGAGCGAGGAGAATGACGGATAGTCAGCAGCAGTTTTGCTTGCGTTGGAACAACTTTCAAGCTAACATCACCAGCCAATTCGAGGCCCTCAGAGATGACGAGGACTTCGTCGATGTCACCTTCGCTTGCGATGGTAGGCGTCTCCAGGCGCACAAGGTTGTCCTCTCCGCGTGCAGCCCTTACTTCAAGGAGTTGTTCAAGGTTAGAAAACCTTCCCCGCCTTGCTTCTCTCTTCAATGCGACTTGCTTGATATCACCCCCCTCCCCATCCCTCGCCTGTGCATTCTTACCTTCTTTGAGAATCATGCTTTGGATTTGATGCGGTGAAATTAAAGTACTTGCCCAAAATTCTCATCTATACGTGTATATGTGTATAGCTCCGTATGTGTATGCGTGACGTCTCGTGCAGTAGTCTCATATATGTTTTGCATAAGATACATGTTTTTGCACATTATTTGTTTGGTAGTAATTCAAGTTTGTTTTGATTGATTTTACTATAACGCATCGTTAATATATTCTTTACATGTATGCCACAATGATTCTATGAATACTAAAATGATTATGAAATGTGAAACATAAAAATATAGTTACTGAGATAGTCTTTCATTCATGTGCAATATATGCTTTTGATACGTATGAACATTTTTACAATATTTATAGAATGTCTTATTCTTTTCAAATAAAATTTTAAATCTAGTATCAGAAATTTTGATAATTTTATT